GACGCCGGTGGCGAATGACCGTAGTGGCCGTGATGGAGGGGTCTCCGTAGAGCCTGCCCTGGAACCTCGCAGATTGGCCGGTCAGGTGTCAGTGGCCGAGCCGCTGCGTCTGGTGTTCCGAGCTGGACGGTGGATCCGGGAGACGGACGGGGCCCAGCCGATGTTGGGGGTTTTTCCACATCACCGCCGACTGGTTTGGGAGACGCATGAGGAGAGGTCGCCTCCGCCGGGGACTCCGTGTTTGCCCGCTGCTGTCCGGCCCGAGCCTGGGCGAGGCGGGGAGGAGAGGCCGATTGCTTCGGAGGAGAGCTCGCGGCCCCCATTGCGGGACGCCTTTTCCGTCGGAATTCCAGCTGTAAGGACTGGGGAAGAGGACGTGGTGATGGGCCGATTGACGGGCACTTTCCTGGCCGGCCTGAGCTCGGTGCCGTTCGACCGGGAGCTGGACGTGCGGCCGTTCACCTGCTTCAACTGCAGGACTGGGGAGCATTGTCGTACGAGGTGCCTGGAGCCGCCGAGCCCAAGAGACTGCTGTCGGAATTGTGGACGCCTGGACGTGACGGTCGCCCATTGCGTGCGATGCGCTGCCGCTTACGCAAAGTATTTGCGGACTCAGGCGGGGGCCGACGGTGTAGCGAGGGCGTCTGGAGAGCAGCAGCCCAGGGAGGTGGATGGACCTCGACTGCCGAGTGAGAAGAGTGGAGGGACTCGTAGCGAGGAGGCCGAAGATGGGACTGCAACCGAGCCGCGTAGGAAAAAGCAGCGGCGTGGTGGCCGTCTCCGACGTGAGAGAATAGAAAGGAAACGAGCTCTCGAAGCTGAGCAGGCCGGTCCGGACGCTGCAGTCTTAAGGCTGCGAGAGGACGCGCGGCAAGAACACCAGGCTGCGAGTTCTCTTCAACGAGACGCCGAGATTGCCCTGCGGCGCACTCCGCCAGGATCCGGCGACGATGCGGAGAGGACTGATCCTGCTACTGGTCCCTCTGAGGAGCCTTTTCAACCCCGAGCGGAGGTAGTAGGATCGACGCTTGGAAGCCATGGACGGACGAACAGGCCGAAGAGTTAGGTAGACTGGCTGGGGCGGTTAATCCTAGCCACCCCACCACGGCCGAGTACATCAGGATGGTGCGGCTGCGACGCTTTGCGTTGCAAGCCAGCACACCTGATGCCCGGAGTACCGACTAAAGGCAAATGGGGTGAGTAGTGGTGAAAGGTAATTTTAATTGAAGTAAATGTTAAGTCTGATGGTTGACGTGTGCAAGTGTTACCCTTGTGTTATTTCCGTTCAATGTCCCTCTGAATTCCCGAGACCGATGGCGGCGGTGCTGGGGAGGTCGAGATGGTCGTCCACCGATGATTTGGGGTATCGTTGGACTTGGGAGGGGGTGTGACGGGCGAATCGATCGTTGAATTCGATTGCCCTGTTCACCTCTCCCTCTCTTCCGCGTGCCTTCCCCTGAGCCGCTGCCACATCGGTCTTGGTTGATTAAAACCGAGTATCGACGCACGATGTGGCTTTGTTGCAGGTTTGATTCCTGATCGGCGGAGATGCCTGGCGTTGTAGGGATAGGGCAAGAACGGAGAGCAGAGGAGGAGAGAGAGAAGTAGTGTCGCCGGCATGAGTCGCACATGTGTGCGTAGCCGGCGGCGCTCGGCCGTTTTTGAGTACCTATAGGGAGGGGCGAGTAAGACGTCGCGGAAGGCGCGAGATCGCAGTCAGTGTGGCTTTGACCAGCAATTAATTTAGAGAGTTGAGCCTCGTGACCGAGAAGTGTGTGCGATAAGCGAAAGTATATCTAGTGAACGGAATAAAAAAGGAGGACAGGACCATCTGCATCCATCCAGAATCCCGCCTTTCGAGGACGACATCGTTGGCCCAGAAGACGCGGACTTCTGCAGCAGCGCTCCCTCCCAAGATCAGGTACCCTTTTTGTTTCTCGGTGCGCGCCTCGATTTCTCTCTCTCCGAGCATCGTATAGGCCGGACGCGGACGAGCGGTTGCATGCGTGAACTCGCATCGCCCTCGCGGAATTCGCGGGACAAGTTGTAAAGTGACGTTCTGTCTCCTGTGCGTTAATTCGCACGGACCGAATTTAGCCCGGACTCGGCCGACGCACACGTCGAACGCTGTATGTACGTTATTGTTGTAATAAAGTGTAAAATAGCTGAACTGATGAGTTTATTCTGTTTAACCTGTCTCTCTCGTAATTAGTTAAATTGCGATTATCGATATTACCGGACGACATAGCCCTCGTTAATTTTCCGCAACGAAGCGAGTGTGCCTTCCGAGCCTTTCCCCTTAAATAATTTGTGATCCAACGTTGTTCGGGCTTAAATTATTAACGTACGTGTTACACAACTTTACAAATATTGCAGCAGTTGGAAGATTTTTGGTTTCTCAAAACATTTCCCACTTTACCATCTATCGTTGTACATATAAAATCAAACGTTATATTAAATTCCATATCCATAAATTTCAGTTCATAATTTTTTACTTTTTCCAATGGTTTTGAAATTCTTTTATAAGTTTTTATTGTATTAATATCATTCTCCTTTACAAATTCAAAGCTTATTGGACGACAATACAAAGTTGAAGATTGTTTATTATCAAGCCACACTATTTTACCATCAGAAGTTCTTACTTCAATAGGTACTAGATTTGCAATAAATACAGATGCATCAGAAAAGTTTTGTTGGTAATAATCATTATTCTCATCACCACTTGAACTGAAATGTAAAGAATTATTCATAAAACGCTGTCTTGTTGTTTGCTGCCCTGAACATCCATCAAATCCATACTTTCCTACAAAAACTAAAGTTTTATTCAGTTTTTATAATTCTGTTTTATCAAACATCATGAGAATTCGTTTTAAAGTATGGTCAAGGAGAGATATGATGTGAATCGTTCCTCCAGAATTAGTTATTTCTATATGTTCTGGGTAACAGGCGTTTTTTGCATCATGATCATCCCATATGGTGGGTACAATTTGTTTTTAAAAATCAATTGATTATAAGATTTTAATTTTTCATATTTGCGGTATGACAAATATAAGTCAGAAAACATATTTACATGATAATTTATGAATCAACTCAGTATCAGGTTTATCAGGTTCTTCATCAGGTACTTTATTTTCAGAAATATTTTTAGTTCTAGATGATTGTAGTTTAAATTTTAATGCCAGAGATAGTTCTTCTTTTGTATACTTGTTAGCAATCTCAAGAGCACTAGTATATTGCGTTTTTGAAGATCCTTCTTCAAAAGATAAACGCGGTCTTCCTGTCGCTATCATACATTTTGATGAAGACGAGGAATTACTAGGTGATGTCAACTGGTTGGAAGAAGATTCATAATCTAACTTTATAGTAATTATTTTGACAAGAAAATCTGTATGTTTATTTTTAAAAATATCTTTTTTTTTTTAAGTACCACTCCATTTTTGTTTGAACTGGATAATATAGGTTTTATTTAAATGTTTCCTCACAATAATTCCATCACAGTCAGACAACAAATATTTACTTTGAATACTACTAATAAGCGAATCAATATAACTTTCATGGTTATCATGGTTATCCACCCTATTTCATATAATATCACATAAATCATAATATTTTAAATTTAATAACATTATTAAAAATTAATTAATACTTAGCAAGTAATGTTTTCTAATTATTTATTTCAATTTTTTTGTAAACCCACACTTCACTAAAGTTAGGATTTCTTTTTAAATAATTATTAAATATCCGTCTGTTAATGAATAATGATAAAATAAATAACACTTAAATCTTTACGTTTTAATAATTACTTATTCATTAACGTGAAAACAAAAAATTTTAAGTTATTTGAAAGTAAGGAAAAAAATTATATTTTAAATTTCTATAATTCAAGCTTATATTAAGTATACGCGCATTTGGTTATCAATTTAAAAGTTATATAGAACATTAACATATACGTAGATTTATGCATATGTTAATTTATTTATATTTTCAAATCATTAAATGTATATGGTACTGTTCTTTTGATTAATTTCGTCATTAATTAAATAATAGTCAACTGTAAATTAACAAATTAAATTAATATTTTCACAAGAAAAAAGAAAAATCGTACGTGGTAAACGCAGAATAAGTGAATTTTACAAATATGGTGTTGGTAATCTAGTGAGTTTATGGGAACAAGCGAGCTTATAGAGGCAGTGTGCTTAGGATTCAAGAGGTTTTGAATTGGGTGTCTTTGTGAGTTTGTGGATTTATAATAATTGGGTGAAAATGTTAGATACTTCAAGGGTTTATTATTTTTGGATTAGCAGATTGTTGAATTAGGTGTTTGAAAGTAAGAAAATTTTTTGGTTAGCGAGTTTATGAATCGGAGGCTTAAAGAGTTGGAGAGTAAGTGGGTTGGTGGATTCGTGAATTTGTTAAATGATGGGTTTGAGAGCTTAAGAGAATATGAATTCTCTGGTATGGGTATACTATGAAAAAACAAGGTTTTTATTGCTAATTTATTATAAGTTGCTATTTTTACAAAATTTATTACACTTAAACTAACGTATATTAATCGTTACTATAGCGTGTTTGTTTCGTCGATCATGAACAACGCGTTTTTAACACTAGTATAAAAGCAATTATTTAACAAATACCAGTTTGGTTTAACGCGTTTCAGTGCTCCTTACAAATTGCTTTGTTAATAAGTGCTTTGTTAATAATATTTTGTTCTATAAGAGCTTAAAAATATTGTTAAAGTTACGAAGGGTTTTTAGTAGGAGTTAGGAGTAAAGAATAGAAAATGTAGCAGTCACTTTCGTCAATAGATATTCTATCGAGTATTTCAAAATATGTTTTATTGAAATCTGTCAAAAATTAAGCCGTAGTTAAAAAATTTCCTTTTATTTTTCACAAATGTAAATAAGAATATATATAAGACAAGTATATATAAGAGCGAACGAATTTACGTTGTCGCTATACGAGAGAAATTCTGTGAGTAATTTACAACTATTTTCTTTCAGGCCAGAACAGAAGAAACAGAAGCAACTAGAGTGGTGCTCCGCCGTGCTACCATGACCGGCTTCACGAACGAGTCCAATAGAAAAAACACTCAAATTTGTCTTTTACATATCGAATTAAGTATTTCCGCGGCGATACATCAAGGCTATTTGCACGTACAACGGAAGCTTAATTCGATTTTCATCTCTCTACCTGATACGTATATAACGCAAAGACATCGGGTCTACAAAGAAAACCTTATTTGCTCGAATGGTCACAAATTGGTGCCCGAACAAGGACTCGATGTTTAATAATTGTATATAATTTGCATAGGATAAGGATAGAGTATAAGTTGTTATTAACATTATTTTTCCATTGGTGATTAGTTGGTAAATTTCATTGGAATAATGCGATTCTGTAAATAGAGAAGACATTTAAATTGTAAAAAATATTTTTTTCGTTTATAGGTTCGAGGTGTAATTGTAAATACGTATAAGTAAACTCAAAATAAAGGTTCTTATTCAAGGTAGATTTGTTATGCATATAGCATACTGACACAGCTTCTTGACGTCTCAGTTATGTAAATGGTATACAAACAACGTTAGAAATAAATAGACTGCACGTTTAAATTTTTTGTAATACGGGGCATTTAAATACAGTACATATGACAAGACCGACAACAGCTTAATTTATCACAGGATGCGTATTACGATTAAATTAGAATTAGAACTGGTAATTGTTCAAAATCAAAATAATGATAACAGTGCTGAAATTGAAAAATGGAAGTAAGATAATGCAAAGTTACACAAAGATTTAGTATTCATATTCAAATGAATTGATAGAAATTTTGAAAGAATAGAAGAACAAATCGAGTATTCTTTATTCAAATTCGGTTCAAGACGTTTGTCAATTCTAACTAGATAATCTCAGTATTTCAAATCTTATTTTTTTTTGTTTTTTCCTTCTTAATAGTCTTGTTTTAAATATCCGTTAGTATGGCAGAGAGGAGAAAATCATTCAGACTGTCGAATGAATTATCTACGATGTCATTTGACGATGATACCGAGAAATATAACAATAAACAGATAGAGGCAATTGATGCAATTACGATGATTAACTGAATTATATCATGATAAAAACGAACTAGGACGAAAGGTAGATAAAATTTTAGATTTGCTAACAGACGATCCGGAAAAAGAGTATTGCTAACGTAAAGGATAGAGTCTGATATTTGTAAAGATCAGTTAAAGGCGTTATCAGATTCCATGAGATCGTGGAACGATAAATTTAAAATGTTAGCAAATGAATTTGAGAAATTCAAAATAAATAAATTCGGGAAGTTAATACAAGAATTTTATACGTATGTTAAGTTGGTCGAAACAGATCAGTTGATTCAGCAAGTAAAGTCAAATTTGCAAACACGTATTAATGAAGCAAATAATAAAGTTGAGGAAAAATTGTACGAAATTAAAAACATGATTTACAAGTCAAATTTGAATAATATGTGCCATAATAGCTCAAACTAGGATATAGTATCGAAAATCAAAATACCGATTCCTATGTTTAAAGGCACAGATACGGAAAGGCCGGTAAAATTTTTAAATCATTTGGACAAGTACATATCTGTAAAAAAAATTCTAGAGCACGATATTTTGGTGGAAAATTAAGTAGAATAAATTACGTAACTAAGATTCTTAATTATGCGAAAGAACTTCAATTATCATTTTCTAGAGAAGAATTAACGAAGAAATTATGTGAGCATTTCGAAAGAGGAATTCGTGACGCGTTTTCTAGCCAAAGATTAAAAAACAAGAACATGTTGTTTCAAATATTACTTGATAATGATAATGATGATTAAAAATTTTTAGAGGGAAAATAGAAAAAAAAATAAATAAGAACAGTCGAACGATGATAAATATGGACAAAACGGAATTTTTATGAAAAAAATATAAGAAACCGTGGCAGAAATCGGTGAATATCGTGAAAATTGAAGTAAGAATCATAAACAAAGTAAAGAACAACTTATTCCTCCTGTTAGCAAGAAGATAGCAAAACAAGCTGACGATGTTTTTGATATTTTAAATATTGATTTCGGTCCATCATTCAAGTCAAATGGGTTGAAGTCGGAAAACTAAATGTAATTGTATCTCTAGACTCAAAGAGCGCGCAAAACAAATGTATGCGGGATACAACTAAGCGCTTGTTTCTAAATAAGATCGAATTATTGTGAGTCGCACTGATAGATTCGCGTGCAGACTTAGTTCAGGATATTGAACCGGATAATGAATATTGTCAACAAAGACAATTTCATATATATATAATTCTTACAAAATTAATAAAACCTTGCATTATGGATATTGATGTGCAAGAAAAATTAAATATGATTATTAATACCCAGCAGGAAAATTTGATGATATCAGTAGGTAGACAATTTGAGAAATTGTCATGTTAATGATTCTAACGACATGAGAAATTATGCTTCTTTGAACATAATAAAATACAACAATGGTGATAATGACCATATCTTATTGAATTCCGATCGCGATATAGGCAAAAATGACTATAATATATCAAAATTAATATCTCTATTTGATTGCACGGATTATAATGATAACGAGTTTAGTCTCTCAAATGCAGAAATTAAACACAAACTTGAATCATGTAATACGAGGGGGATCAATAAGTTTTTACAAAAAGAATGAAAAAAAAGTTTTGTGTATGTAATTTTTTTTTATTTTTCAATATAATCTCCTTGAAGGTCGATACATTTTATTAAACGGCCTTCCAGTTTTTTTAAGCCATCAGAAAAATATGATTTCTGAAAACCCTTAAAATAGGCATTTGTTTCGGCGATGACTTCTTCATTCAACGTGAATCGTTGTCCGGCAATCTATTTTTTGAGGTTAGGAAATAAGAAAAAGTAATTGGGAGCCAAATCAGGCGAATATGGTGGATGGTCAATTAATTCGAACTTTAAATCGTTAATTTTTGCCATCGAAACTGCACATGTGTGAACTTGAGCATTGTCTTGAAGAGTCTTGTTTGGACTGTTCTTTGGTTTCAGGAGTGTAGTCGTGTACCCATGTTTCGTCTACAGTTACGAGTCGACACCAAAAGTCTTCCGTATTACGACGTCTGCGTGCCAAAAGAGCCTCAGAGGTAACCACGCGGGTTCGTTTGTTTTCAACAGTGAGCAAACGCGTCACCTATCTTGCTGATATTTTTTTCATTCCTAATTTTTCATCCAAATTGAAATGATTGTACCCTTTGATACCCCTGTGGCCTCAACTAATTCTTGCAATTTTAATCTTCTATCATTCAACACCATATCGAGGATTTTGTTGACCATTTCAGGCTTACTCACTTCTACGAGGCGTCCGGAACGATGTTCATCTTTCGTTGTCGTACGGCCGCGTTTAAATACATTTACCCAGTTATAAACAGTCTTAAACACAGGGGCAGATTTGCCATGAACGGCGTTCAACTCAACTCATTTTTCAAATAAACCAATAACTTTTTGTTCAACCAACGCTCACAAAAAAACGACTTAATGAATCGAGCTGAAACTTTGTACGATATCTAGTTAGTAGTATTGCTTGCCAAAAACATCATAATTTAAGCGTGACGAGCTCCATCTCTTGGATTTTGTAAAGACATATTGACCCCCCCCCCCCCTCGTAGTTATAAGCTAAAAATGACCGACTCGTGGGTTTTGAGATTAGGAAGTAGTAATTTGGAGCGGGAAAGCTTACTAGTTTTAGAATATCTGTGATAAAAATACAAATTTGTTTTACTTTATATTTTTTTACGTAACGCTTTTTCACATGAAATCATGAAGTTTCGTATGCAGGAGAGTGATTTCTTGAGTTTTAATACAAAATGAAGGTGATGACATAATTCTGGTCCCGCATTTCGGTTTTAGAACATCAAATTTTATGAGTTGATGGGTCTGCTCTTCGGTACAGACCTCTTTTTTATTGTACGAGGGTCGTTTGAAAAGTCCATTATTTTTAGTTATCTTGGAAGAGCATACACCAAGTTTCAGCCAGATTGGCCAATTACTTTGCGTGTTACATTCGTTTCAATCAAAGAAATCGAGTAGTTGTAAAAAAATGGACGAAAAAGAATTTCGTGTATTGATTAAACATTACTTTTTCAAAGGCAAAACGCCTCAGGAGATTAAACAGAAGCTTGATAAATATTATGGTGATTGTGCACCTTCGATTAGAGTGGTTTATAAGTGGTTTCAAAATTTTTGGAATGGCCATATGAGCACAAAAGACGCTGAACGTTCTGGACGCCCTGTTGAGGTTACCACTTCAGAAATCATTGATAAAATCCATGATATGATGACGGCTGACATAAGAGTGAAGGTACGTGAGATTGCTAGTACTATAGGCATCTCGAGCGAACGGGTACATAATATTTTGCACCAACATTTGGTCATGAAAAAGCCACCCGCTAGATGAGTGCCGCGATTGCTCACGATTGACCAAAAACGAGATCGTGTGAAGTGTTGCAAGAATGGTTTGCAGCTGTTCCAGGAAAATCCGCAAGACTTTAAGCGTGGTTTCATCACTGTAGATGAAACATGGATACCACGGCGGTCCTGAAGTAGGTTTAAATCGAAGGTCCTTGCACTCTCAAAATTCCAACGGGGTATCTTTTTAGGATGTTTCCTGAGCAGTTTGAGCTCAAAACGAAAATCGATGATTGGGCCGTTTTTGAAAAAACCATTTTTTAAGTTTTCAATGCAAAAATAATTCATTTTTTTATCTATTGAAATACAAATGTATGCCTTCCTATGTTGAATTATCGTCTCTTTTCATTAATGTGAATTTTCATTTCGTTCATAGATAAAAATGTGTTCATGCAAAAAAAATATTTCAATTATAATTAATATATGAAATTTAATTTATTCTTATAAATAATGAGTTCTTACGTTTTGATATATTTTACTTGACAAAGGGATTAATATTATTTGCTTCCAAATTTAATTCAACTTCTGAATACAGATTTGACTTCGACGCATTATACATGGGTTGTTTGTAAACAGAGCGCGAAACCTCGATAGTTCACGCGTACGGTTTTCTTGGAATTTTCAGTATTGACTCGATCTGAAAATTTGCGAGGACAATATTATTTGACAGTCGTAAGAAGTCAATCTACGAAATAACATTCGGTTAGTGATATTCTTTCGCGCTACGATGTTGCATAAAAGTAAATCGCATTTGCGCTCACACCAAGAAAATCATGATACGGTCTGTTTATTATGCTTTGACAAGAAAAATGTGATGGTGAATATTGCGACTGTGATACAAAAAAAATAGAAAATTTGTTCGATAATTACGATTCTACAAATGAATGCCTCCCGCACGTGATTTGTGCCAGTTGCAAGAGAAATCTTTACCGCTTTGACTCAAAACAACAAGTTGAGCAAATTGTTTTTCCAAAGTTCGACATCAGGGACAGTACTAGATCTCGTGAAAATAAAATATGTCAATGTGAATATTGC